CCGACAATTTCTCGCTAAAAAATGAGACGGGGTGAATGTCTTGGCTCAGGATCGCACCAATCCCCATTTTGGAGGCGTCACAAGAATGCTCGAACGGTTTCAGAAAAATCTGGCAAAACAAGCACAGGAACAACTTGCTCTTAATCATAGCAAAGACAGTCTTAGCCTTCAGGGTCCACACAAAACACTTACCGGTGAGGCAATCTATGATTGGAGCTATAATAATACTGAAGTGTGAAATAAAACAGCGATAGAATGAGGCAAGGTCGTGAAAGCTACGTGCCTCAGTGAAAGAAGTCAGTGTTGGCCAATCACGGTAGCGGCAACCTTGCTATCGTCCACTCAAATATCCTCCGCAGAAATCACAAAGCCCAAAAACAACACAGAATCGACCAAGAAGAAGCACTTACGTGGTGCAGCAAAAAGGGACTCGATCCTAGAACACATAGGACCGAACGAACATGCTGCAGATGCTCAGCCACCGAATGACTGTAAATGAGAATGTCGTCGAAATAAATGACGACACACTTGCCAATAAAGTCGCGAAGTGTCTGATTCATCACCCGCATGAAGGTACTTGAAGCATTTGACAGGCCAAACGACATCACCAGCCATTCGAACAATCCCTTACGGATTTTAAATGTTGTTTCCACTCATCACCAGGCCGGATCCAAATTTGATGATAGCCGCTGCGTAGATCAAGTTTGGTGAAAACGGTGGCTCCATGCAGCTAATCCAGCAAGTCATCCAACCTCAGAATCAGAAAGCAGTGACGAACTGTGATCTTGTTGATTGCGCGGCTATCGACACACATGCGCTAAGACTGATCCTTCTTTGGTATGAGAAGGGCTGAGACTGCATACGGGCTCAAACTCCGACGTACCACCCCTCGTTGAAGAAGCTCCTCAATCTGTCTGCGCAACTCTTCATGTTCAGTGGGACTCATTAGATAATAAGGTCTATTCGACAGAGAAGCCCCCGGTATCAAATCAACGTGATGTTGGATGTCGCGAAGTGGTGGTAAACCCGAGGGAATCTCGTGTGGAAACACGTCAGCAAACTCGGACAATAAAGGACAGATAGCTTCAGGCGGTGACCGTTCGCCACATGTCTCCACTCCAACAAGTAACAGAACCACTAGAGAGTCACACATCTCTGCCACAAAAGTCGTACATAAAAGAACAAGAATTGATGATGGCAAACTCATCATCAGTAAGGGGCGTGGTGGACTAGGAAGCAATATAATCTTGACACCACAAAAAAAAAAATAGTATGTGTTGAGGCGACCGTCATGAGTGGCCGCTCGACCTTACTTCCAAGGGCGATCTAATAACAAATGGAACACGTCCATCGGGACATCATCACACCATACCTGATCAGGGTACCTAGTTTCGACTGAAAAAGAGACCAGTGCCCGACGGTCTACGGTAATCGAATTGCCTCTTTGGATCCATGCCAAAGTATACGGATGTGAATGAGGCTCGCTAGAAAGTTTAAGTTTATCCACTGCCTCTTGAGCAATTGCATTTTCACATGACTCGGAATCAATAATAAAGTGACAGACCTTGTTCCTAACCGTGCATCATCCGGACTCCTTATGGCCAAACATGTCCGTCTAAGAACCAAGGTTGTCCCCACATCACTATTAACATATTCCTCAATCTCTCTCGGCTTGGCATCATAGATCGACGGTCTCTCATATCCTTCGTCGAAGGCCAATTCCCCTGCATCCTCACGGGCCAGCCGATTTTTGGTGGCCAGTCTCGCCACAGCCGGAACACCTCAGCACGACAACCATCCTAGCAGCATCCGTCATCTGTTGTTGTCCGCCAACCTCTCCCAGCCGCAGTTGACTCCAGCTGGTCGCGAAAAAGTGACTCGATGTATTCCCCATGGCCCGTAACATTACCCACAACAGACGTTGTATGCACGGCCTGAACACCCACACCCGGAGTTGTCATTTGCCGGGAAGAAGAAGCAAAAGACGGCCCCACTTTTTGAGCCAACTAAAATTGCACGAGAATGGCCCGTTGGTGAGCATTTGAAAAGATTCAATATATCGTGTATAGTAGAATGTAACCCGCCAACGCAACATGAAACCAACTGATTTTTTATTTCCCGTAACTCGACACGAGTTAAGAGTCGATAGAACTCAGTTGTGTACTCATTCATCGAGTGCACCCCTTTTGACGTAAATTCTGTAATTGTTGATAAAAAATTCTATTATAGTTGGAAGACACAAATTCACGTTTCACATACTCACGAAATTTCATCTATGATGATAGTTTCGGTTTTTCTTCACAATGCCGCATACTGGTGAGTTGCATCCACCATGCCGCTGCACGACCCCAGAATTATGTCGCAATTAGAGCGACCTGCCTCTCTTCTGAGACCTCCTTAAAGGCTAGGGCAGCTTCCACTGCAGCTCATCAATCAAGAAAATCTGAACCATCCACACCCCGTAAAATTTGGGTACTTCCATACGAAACCCTTATTCCCAATGTGACTCATCGTCCCCTTCGATCGGATGTCCGCCATCACGTCGGTGTTGGACACCTCTCTCAAACCCGTCCTGTTCATGGGCACCTTCCCTCCTCTGTTGGTCAAAGTCGAGCTCCCCGTCTTCGCTATATAGGTGATCGCCGTCCTCAAACCCTAAGACGTGCCTCAATTCTCTATCATCATCCATGTCTGCCTAGCCTCGAAAAAAGCATCCCTCACAGCATCTGTCATCGTCGCCGGCATAGCCGCGTAAAGCACGACCTCCGCTGTGGTTCTCTGTGTGAAGCCGTCGTCACCTACAAGCCACCGCCGTTGTTCTCCAGCGAACGGATTGACCTTGCTGACGGTGTCTTTATCTCCCTCGTGGCCGAACAGAGTCGATGGTGAACGCCGGCGGGGCGCGCCGCCATAGCCACGTCACCAAAGTCATCGGTGTCGCGGTTCGTATTGACTTCCTCCATCATGGTACGCATCGCCTTGCGCAATTCCTCGATCCCCGTCCAAAGGTCCGTAAATCAGTCGTCCATCCCTTGAATTTGATCATCCATTCGTTCAAAACGGTCGTCAATGGTGTTGTCATTTATGGCGTTTCCCCTCTTAGGGGGCATCGTGGATCGTTGCTGGTCTCTAAATATCCACTGATGTAGAACGTGATACGAATAGGAAAAGAATGAGATACTCTCTTGATGAATTCGCAAAATCTAATAAATTTCAATTGCCCAAAACTGAAAACCACATCTAATGCACTGCAGATAAATAAAAAGAAAGAGTCCTACTGTTAGTATCTTGCCACACAAGATGCAAGATATGTATTTAATTGTTCTTAATAAAAAATAAATAATACAAGGAAAAATATTAATAAATAGCTTAAACCTATAGCCAGTCGTATTTATTCAAATATGCAATGGCGGTCTCGTCTCCATCAGAGTATCTGAGGATGATGAAGTGGTGGTAGAGCGAGCGAGGTGGTTAATAGTGCTGGTGATGTGATCGTAGCCTGACGGATGGAAACTTTGTCTGATTCCCACGTCATAAGTGCTCAGTAGAAGTTGTAGGGTCAGATCCCCCCTCTGACCTCAATAGCCTCGGAAGCAGATGAAGAGGTTAGGTCCGACGCAATAATAGAAACCAGGAGAGGACTCTCCAACAATAATGGGCCAAGGCGTAGGGGAAGGAAGCGACACCGACTCGGACTCAGAAACAAGTAATGTAGAATAAGGAAAATGGTCTCATAATATTTAACATCTCGAGAAACCAGAAAATGTTGAGTGTCAAGATAAAAAACTGACCAACTTTTTTTTCCACAGAGTAGCCCACAAAAACACACCTTCTAGTACAACTAGCCAAGTTATTCTCTGATCGATCCAAATTATGAACATAACATAAGCATCCAAAAACACGAATGTGCGTAAGAGTCAGTGATTTTCCAAAAAGAACTTCATAAGGACTTTCCCATGCAACACTTCAGTAAGAGTGCAATTAATTAAATATCCAACACTTAAGACACAGTGATCCCAAAATTCAATAGGTAGATTGGACTGAGAACGCAGAGCAGTGCCACATTGAGAATATGGCGATGCTTGGGTTCTACACGACCATTCTGCTGAGGGATGGCAACACAAGATGTTTCATGTAAAATACCGTTTTTCTACAAATATGAAGTGAGACACATAAATTCAGTCCCATTATCACTTCTAACAACTTTTACCAACTTATTAAATTGGCATTGTACCATGGCAAAAAAACAAGGCAAAGTAGCAGAAACATCACTTTTGTTATCCAACAAATAAAGCCACACAACACGAGAAAAATCATCAACAATTGTAAAAAAAATATCTTACTCCAGAGAAAGAGGGGACACGATAAAGACCCCATAAATCACAATGAATCAAAGCAAAAGGTTCCAAATTGGTATTATCACTCAAAGGAAAAGAATCTCTAGTATGCTTGGCATGATAACAGACATCGCGAACTTTATTATCAAAACTATTAACTTGAGTATAAGCGAAACTAAATAACTTTCCAAGAATCTTTCAAGGTGAATATCCAATCGTTGATGCCACAGGTCCAAAGAACCACCAACTGATACTTGAGCCGTCACCGCCTTCATAAGATCACGAAAAAATATACTCCCCCAATTGCTCAACAAGACCAATCACCGTCCACGTAGCACGGTCCTGTATCAAACAATCAACATTAGTGAAGTGGGCTACACACTCATGTCCTCCAGCAGATTATATACAGAAATAAGACTACACTTAAGACTTTGTACAAACAGGACATTGATCAACACCAAATTATGACTAAGTCGTACTGAGCCAGCTTTAGTCGCAACAGTCAATTGACCATCAAAAAGTTATATCGGTTGAGGCAAAATATCACAAATATCAATAAGGGACTGATAAAAACCAGTCATATAATGTGTAGCACCACAATCATACATCCAAGTACGAGAGTAGTCCTTACCAGTTAAATGTTCAGAAAGACCAAAATTGAAATTATTGGGCGAAATTCACAAGGGTCTGCCATTGATCGAGACTCAAACATGTGGAGGCTGGAATATGACCAGACCCGAAATCAGAAAGTTGCAACGAATTATTGGCACTAGTGGAATTTGCTTTGGCCGGAGCTGAGGCAAAATTTTCACGGCCAGTCCCCAGCCCGCCTGAAGATTTGCCGGTAGGATGCGCTGGTAAGGTTCCTCGATTCCCTATTGTATCGCTGGAAGAGCTTGACCTGCCCGTCGGATATCTGACCAGCTCATAGCATCATCGCGGTCAGTTCGTTGGCAGTGGGGGCAAGGTTTCACACAGAAGCATACGGCGATGTTGTGACTGGATTTCTCGCACACAGAGCACTGGCAACCGCGACTGGTGGAGGTTGACTTGGATGACGGAGGTCGCAATGGGGTTGAGGTTGCAAAACTGAGAAAATCGGGCGATGAATTTGAGGAAGAAGCGAGTCTTTCTTCTTGAGAGATAACCGAGTACACTCGGTCGAAAGACGACAAAGGGTATTGGGCTAAACGAGATAATCGGGCTAACCCATAAAGGTCCGTATCTAAGCCCAACAGAAATTGATGGGTTTCATCATCTTGCATTCTTTTTGTCAAATTCATGGGTAAGCCCACATTTACATGCGAGAGGTGGTTGATATGAGGTTAATTCATCAAACAATTTTTGCAGTTTGTCGTAATAAGTTGATACTCATTCCTTTATGGACGGTAGAAGCCAACTCACCTTTTAATTGTTGAATTCGTGTGCAATTTGGGAGAATTGACGATGAAGATGATCCCACAGATCTTTGGCGATCTCAATATGAGGAACAGAGGACCGCAAGACTGGATCAATTGTTTTTAATTTCCAAGAAACTAACATGGAATTGTTCACAAATCAGTCTTCTAATACAGGATCGTTGTCTTATGGAGGAGGAATTGAACCATATAAATACCCAAATTTTTTCGTGCCCGAAGAGCATTCTGAACAGAAGAAGACCATTCAACATAATTTGTATCTTTGAGAGAGACCGTAGTAATTATGCAACCGGGATTATCATAAGGTAATATTGTTCTATAAGAAAATGGATTCACCGTTGAGAAGATGAGTGAAGAAAAGAAAAATATACTAATCAGATTAGCGTTGGTGAAAACCACTGCTCTGATACCATGCTAAAACTAGGAGATAATGCATATAGTAGAGAAGAGAAAAATGTTTTATTTTTCATAGCTTGTAATAGGGATATTACATCTAATTATATAGATATTACAAGAGATAAAAAAAAATAAAAAACAAATCAGGATCAAATCAAATTAAATCAAATCAAGATCAAATTTCTAACTACTAAAATCTCACTCTCTCTCTCTCTCTCTCTCGAACCTATTTACCGAAAATAGTAACAAAAAAGTCAATTAGCATTTATTACATTTTTTGGTAGATTTTAAATTTTCTTTTTAAATTATTCCTAAAAAATCGATCAACTATATATACTTTAAATTCATGGGTTTTGTGGATTTAATATAGGTAAATTTAAACTGATACTTACAATTTTGCAAAAGTCAAAATTTTTTTACATTTTTTTATTAAAAATAAAAAGTTGATTACCACAAATTCAAATTAGGCAAAATACTCTCACATACATCTTTTCATTGTAACATATCAATTGTTTAGTAAAAAAAATGGATTGCATATAAATCGGGTTAATTTAGGTAAATTTGGCGTGACAATTTTGTAAAAGTTAAAATTCTCTCATTTTTTATTAAAAAGAATTTGTTTACCATAGAATCAAGAATTTTGAATTAGGCAAAAAAATATAACATATATCTTTACCTAAATACAACAGATCATGTTTATTAAAATAAAATCCGATTGCATAGAAATTGGGTCTGATTTCGAATAGAAAATTAAAATTTAAAATCTCATATCATGTGGCTACTACTTTTTTTTGGGATTTTTTTAAACATAAAACAGAGTCAGATAATATTAATTTGAATTTCAACATGAAATCTGATTAGAACATCCTAAAAATTTGGGATTTGTTTAATCCTATAGAATACAAATTTGGAACTTGATATAGGATATTATACCTACCAGGCTAAACCGACATACTGAACCGAACGAGGAGGTCATATCATGAAGGAACTGAACCAAGCGGCGGGAAGATCGAGCAGCTAACCTGTCGACCAGTCAAGTAGTCGACCAACACATCACTCGACCAGAAAAGTGATCGAGCAACCCAGTCGACCTCAACAGGTCGATCATCTCCGAAGACTTAACACTACACTGATCGGCCTAGACACAGGCGCGTGAGAGAGCCTCTAACCGAATTCTAAGAGAATATTTATCCCATGTGCAAGGGAACACGTGTCGAGAACGCAGGGGTTGATACCAATAACCGCCTCTGACAGCATACCCCATGTGCAGGAGGACACGCGTCCAAAGAGTATTGGTGTAGGCGATAGTGGCGACGGATACTTCTGACACACGCGTATTGTGTGTGTACGGACGGGCAGTTAGGGCAGACAGCTCACCAAATCTGGGCAGCCCTAGGTCAGGTATCTCACCCCTATATAAAGGGGTGAGCCTTTCTTCTTCGATACGATTTTCTCTATTATTCACTTCAATATACTTAAACACATACTGACTTAGGTATCGGAGGCTCTTCACCGGAGACAACCCCCGATGTGAGAGTTGTTTGCAGGTTTCCGGCGTTCTACCGGCGAGGACAAGAATTGATCTACCCCAAACCGGACCAGGACGTTCACACTTTCATTATTGGTGCCGTCTGTGGGGACTTTCGTTTGAGAAGTTGTGTTTGCAGCTCGACTATGGCGGACGGAATTCCCAAAAACTTGCAATCGACGTTCGACGACGCTTAGACGATGACCAGGCCAATTAGACAAGGCCCTCCTCCGGGTTTTTCCTGCCCATCGCAGA